AAATCAGCTTTGATTATACTGTTATTATGCAAAAACAGCCTGACATGATGAGTTTCAAGATGTTGTTAGAGGAGGCCTCTATAGCTAAAACAATATAAGTTACTAGGTTAAGTAAATAAACTACTTTAATAGTAAAAAACATGTGTGCTGGAATTTAAATTTGGTTAGATATTGTTTTCATGTATAAAAATCACAAAAAACATTGGCTGTGGTTTATTTTGTGACTCAGAATTAATTTAGGTTAGATTAAAACCAAGCATATGCTGATCTGACAGCGTATGCTGTTCTGACAGAACACCAGCTATAAAAAGTCCAACTCCTCCAAGGTTAATGTGGACTTTATAAACTTAATTTAAGCTTATTCCGTCTATATTAATGGGTTGTGCTGATTGATCTGGTTAAATTACATATTTTATATTTTTAGGCACCTTGATGAAACAACATGATCTTTTGAAATAAACTAAGGTTTTAAATCTGAGTTGGTTAATAAGAAAACAAAGAATACATGTGAATTATTCAGTGACTTTTTTTCCACAAGATTCCATATGGTTGGTATCTGTTTGTCTCAGGGCTCGATCAGATCTGATCACAAAGTAATCGCTTAGTGTTGGGCCAATCGCCTACAAATTTATATCCTTTTTTTCTTTTAAACATACTGGCAGTTTAACTGGAAACCAAGTAGGGCTGGGCGATATGGACTTCAAATCTTATCAAGGTTATTTTTGGTACTATAATCATGATGATAAAAAGGAGGATGAAAAATATTTGTTGTAGACAGTTTTTCTCAGGTAACTGTATGGCTCCACAAATACTGCAGCTGGAAACTATACAGATAAAAAAACAGGCTTGTTTAGGACACCAGTTACATAAATAAAGTGGGATTTATGTCACTAAATTCCCCATGGTGACCACATTTAGTAATTTCCTTCAGAATTTGTCAATCCCCAACAGAAAACAAAGGTAAAAAGGAAAAAAAAAGTTCATCACATGTAGTTAATTCTAACTTATCATTTAGATGATAAATCAAAATTGTTTTATCACTATTAACAATGTAAGACAGAAAAAATACTTTTACCTCGCCACAGAAACCACCCAATATATGAATGATTTTGGGGGGGGGGTTAAAACAATTTTCTGAGTAAACTGCAACATAATAAAAGGAGGGATTTACAAACTTTAACATTGCTTTCGAAACAAAATCTTTTTAGTTCAATAAAAAGACCTAAAATATTCAGTTTGATGAAGTGCACTAAGGTTTGGCTCTGTTGTCAGACCACAGACCTGTTGTGGAAAACTGGATGTTGCTGTTTCCAGTATACTTTGATGTTGTTTGAATGATGATTGAATTGTATTTTGGACAAAGTATTTTCCTCCCGGTAAGCCGTACCTTTAATCCAGCATTTTAATCATTGCTCTAAATCAGTCTTTCTTGGCTGTCTGTAGTAGAGCCATGTCCTTACATAGGTATATTGTTAAGGCGTTCGTAATGTTGCTCCACTGCTTTTCTGAACCTTTAGTTTCACTACCGCTGCTGGATAACTGCGTCAGACTGAAAGACCATAATAGCATACATTCATGGTATTCCGATACCAACTTTCTGCTGAGAGATAATCATGCAAACTGCAGCAATTCAAACCTTTTACAGATTGCTGCCTTAAAGCTGTTTTCTCAACTATTCTATAGTATAGCAGTGTTGTTTTTAATCAAAGATGATTAAATTATTTCATTGGTGCAGCTTTTTTCATGATTCAAAGATAATGACAAAATGAAGATTGCTACTTGAGCTAAACATGACGGGGCATGCACGTTTTTTGTAAAGATGAGAGTTAACGAAAATATAAATGGTTGGTTTGTCAGAGATAAAAAGAGAATTAAAACATTTCTGCTTATATTGCATGAAATATTCCAGTTAAAAGCTAAACGATTTGAAAGAGTACATCCCCTTCTGTCTGTTCGAGCTTTACCCCACCAACTACTTCCTGAGCATTTGTCACTTACTACGAAAGGATCTGAGGCTGAAATATAGCATTTTAAACCTTTAGCTTATCCCCATGTGCGTTTTAATAAATTAGAACAAAAAAACGTATGTAGGTGGCAGCTAAAACAGCAGCTCTCAAGGTAACTGGTTCAAGTGCTGAGTAGAAGGGCCACCAGCCAGTTGTTTACCCAGATGTGCAGTGATTTGGTGGGTATGGAGAAATTCTTGCTGTATGGACTGGGCTGATTCTTCCTGCAATCAAGGCAGCAAAGGTTCAAAGTGATTGTCGACCATTAGTGTAAAAGCTAGTTTAGTTTCTTTTATGCTTTGTTATTGTGATTTGCAACTACAATTTCAGAAGGGGGGTGCCAGTAATGTAGCTTAAAAAGAAAAAAAAAATTATGAACTCATATTTTTGTTTTTATTTTTAACGCAATTTTATTGCTTTAACATGTTAGTATTAATTCTCTGTATTTTTTAAAGATAAGATACCTATAATTAATTGTTTTGTTTTAATTTGTTGACATTTATATATTTTTTTGTATACAGATAGAGAATATACATTTTTTTCTTTTAAGGAAGCTGACTAAAGGTAGACTAAAAATTGACTAAAAATCATCACATACAGAAATTACTAAACTGTTGTTAAAATTAGACTTTTCAACCAAAAAACTTAAATGATCATTAAAACAATCAACATCGTTTCAAAGGGGAAATCATGACTGCCCTATATCCCAGACGAGCTCACTGAATACTGACAGGAAGAAACGGGAGATGGTTGCAGGATGCGTTGGATTGTAGTCATTGGGGTCACTTTCAGGGGCAGTCTGCAACATTTAAACACAAATCTATGGCTTTGTCAAGCTGCTGCCTACCTCTGTGAAGCAGGAAAAAGACTAATACAAAGTGAATCCAGTAGAGCTTTTTATTGCCTACCTGGATTGGGCGACAATAGTTGAATAAACTTTTGGCTCTCAAAATATATATATATATATATATATATATACACAAATTTTTTTTGCTATACTAACTGTAAGAAGTTTCCTTACAGTGTCAAACACCCAAGGAATCTAACCTGCTTACGTTTCTCTCTATAAAGTCACACAACTAAAAGGAACAATATTCAACAAGGTAAGCATATATAACTATAGACTTCAACCAAACAGAACTGATTTTTATTATATACTTAATCTTAAGAAAAAATAAATAACATTGATTAATAACAATTCTAACTATAATTAAAAAATTGTTCTTAGCTTACCGATACAACACAACCCGCCATCACAATATCACAGTAAACAAACGTTGCTTGGATGCAATATTTGGAAGGTAACAACAATTCAGGCACTGGGTGTTTACCTTAACACATCTGCTACTGAGACAGACTTCTACTTCTACTGTTCATTACACAAAAACACACCAACAAAAACACAGATTTGACTGAAGTAGGAGTGATGGGGCCATTTTGACGTTGGAAAAGACAAACCGCCATTGAAAACACAGTTTGAAGCAATCGTCTTCCGAATAGTCAACAAAAACATCTCACATTGTGTATTTCTATGATAATACAGCTTTTTTATTTTTTCAGCAATATTACTTCTTACTCTTCCATCTTCACTAAAAGCAGATAGACCACATTAATCTTCTTTTGTTTACTATAGCTTATATAGTTAGAATCTAAAACAATCAAACAGTCAAAAGAAGGTTTTAAAAATCTGATATCATAGATACTATTTCATAGAAGTTGCTTAATGTTTATTTTACAGCTTCCAAACAAAATGAGCAAATGTGCCAACAAGCAGTGTTCTGAAACTGTGAGATCATATTTTTGTAATATGACTGTAATATTAGCAGGAGTTGAGATCTGGCAATTGTTCAGCATTATTTTTAACAACCAGCTGTATTTTTATTTGTCCTGTGGGAATCCTTTATAATTACTGCAGTATGAAGGCTCATGCGGATAAATTAAAATCGTTAATGAATTGTGAATGAACCTCTTAGTCAAAGACTCAGGTTAATGGAAAACTGATATGTTCTCTTAATGGAACCACTTCAAAGTTTCTGAGACTACTGTAATAATGTAGCGGGGTGAAAATAAACATTTAAACAATATGAAAAAAACAGTCAGGATGGGGATTAATCCGCTGCATAGCTCTAAACGATGCACAAATACAACCCCTCCAACATATACCTCCTCGTCAGATGCAACAAAAAACCCTGCGAGAGTTTGAATTAGGAAACCCACGAAGCAAACAAATGCATTGAAACTTGAGAAGCCAGTACTCAGAGGCAAAAATAAATCTGTTTCAGAGACATCAATATCTATTTCCCAGAGTCCTTCACCCCGCTGTGGTTTTTGGTTAACACTCTTCTTGGTAAGATAGCTGATAGATAAATGGCGAGCAGGGCGTTCTCAGGGAGAGCATCTCAACCGTGCTTTGTCCACCAGCAACACGCCCAATCACAAGAAAAAAAAAACAAAAACAGACCAAAGGCTGCCAGGATAACCTGAACCGCTGAGGAAATTCACCTTGAAACCACTCCACAGCTGAGAGATCTTCCTATCAGAATGCAGGCACCTTCTTAGATAAATGTCAAAGAGATAACGACGAGCTTTAGGAAGAGCGAGCGGCTGGCTTCTTCCTGCTGCTGCAGCGCAGCCTCGGTAGGCTTTCAGTTTATGGCACCAGTTGGACTTTGAAAGCAATGTTTGTTTCCATGGCAGTTGTGGTAAATGCATCAAAATAGATAATCATGTGTTTATAATTGGAAGAGGAAATACATTTTTTAACCACCTTCAAACTGAGCTTATGTTTCCCTAAAACATGAATCTATCTCATCTTTTTTTTTTTGCAGCAAAACTACAAGAGAAATGATCACATTAACTATTTGAAGGCACGCATTCCTGAGAACATGACGAGCATGTGCAAACAGAAAAAAAAACTGCTGGATGAAGAGGAAAACAATAAGAATAGCAAATAAAAAAACAAGCAAACATGCAGGCAAAGTCAAAATGGGTTACCTCAGAAGCCCCCCCTGCCCTTTCAGCAGGGCCTCATATGGAGAAGTGGGCCTCAGGTCCCCTGGGCACTGATGTCTGCTCTCCCCTCAACTCCTCCCAGTCAGCCGCGCAGGCTGTTGTGCAGGAACCTGGCCCTCTCAGGACAACCTACAGCCACAAGTCATTCACACCTGGAACAGAAGGGAGAGAACTTTGTTCATCTGCTGAAGCACAAACAAGGAAACGGCAAGAAAAAGCACTCCGTCGCTGGTGTTGACAAGGCCTGCAAGTAGTAAACACACTACCAGAACACAGCTGGGGTCTGTGGAGACTACAGCAACTGGGGCACTGGTTTATACCTCACTTATCGACCAGCGTGCAAGTTAGGAATCAAAACAGAGGCTTGTCCTTGCAGTATGAGAGGAAACTGTGATTCTTTTAAAGACGTTTGAGCTCGAATTATAAAGGGAAACAGCTTGAAGATAAGATAAACAAACAAATTAGCTGGTAACCAGGATTGGGTGATTTTATGCCTAATGGACCCAGACCTGCTGCAATATCGTAATCCTAAAGGGCTGGTTAGATTAAATATTCGGTAGATTATAATACTTCAAATGCTGCAGATACAATACCACATCTGACCAGTTTGGTGTTTTTATGCCCAAATGTATAGATTTTTGAAGTTCAAGGCTAAAGGCCATTTATATCTTCTTGGATATAGGCGCTTCATAAATCATAAATCTAGAGGGAAACTATCATTTCTCTGCTGTTCATTCAGGGACTTACTTTAGTGCCGTCTCTTTTTAAAATATTTTCATTTTTGGTCTTTGTGAACCCTACAAAGACAAAAACGGTAAAAGCCGCCCTCCACTACCATAAGGGAGGGCTTGTCAGATCGATGGGAGGGGGAGAAGCAGCTCAAAGCTGGTTTTGGTAGATATCGAGTAAACTTGATGGAGTGCAGCCACTGAGCTTTCAAACTCAGCTATTGAAGATGCTGGATGCGGAAACGTTGGCCAGTTAGCTTTGTCTACTTTCAGTCATTGTGCTTCTTTTCTGAATTAGAAAAACATAGTTTTAGGAGAAGTGCTGCATCACACACAAGATGCAACATTGTCTATCTACTAGAAATCATTGGTGACTGCTACAATAGAAATAATTCAACTAAAATCTGTAACAGCAGGGCAAAATCTTCACAGAAACAAGAAATCAGACAAACTTCTAAGGCCGGGCATACGCTGAACAAAATGTTCAATCATTGTATTCAGCCAAAGCTCAAACTGTACAATGAAATTGCAGGATTTATAAGTTCACGGCTCAATATGTGTTTGTCTTAACACTGTACGGCCCGACGCTCTGAAATCTACCTGTTCACTCCATGTCTAAAAACCACAAGTCAGACTTAGCACCGAGAGATGGGACTGGTCGGACTTGTCAATCTGGAAGAAGAAAAACTCCCTTATTTGCACGCGCGAAGTGCGCGAGTTGTTCTGATAAATCGGCTTGTAGCTCTGATTCAGCAGCAGGATTTCACCACTAACGCCTTACGAGGGCCGAATGAATTTAAAAAATGTTTGATTTTCTCCCGACCTTACGACCTCTTGATCGGGAGGTGGTAGCGAGAGGCTAATCGCCCCTTGCTACCCCCGTATTTTTTGGACCGGGCTGAGTTTCAGCCCGGTCCAAAAAATTCTTCCTCGACTGGAGAATGGGTAAAAAATAGCGAACCATGTAATGTATGCCCGGCTTAATGCCAATGTCATACAGGAGAGTCGCTCTTGTAATAATTTGTGCTTCCTTACCTGCTTTCAAAACTAATAACTTTGTAATGTAGGGTAATGTTAATATGTGACCTAAATGAATTATATCTACCAGCAGGAGGTTGCTTGGATTTAGTTTGCATTGATAAGGGATCATTTTTAATCACACTTATCTGATCTAAACATAGATCAGTACCAAACAAATGGGAGAAGGACATTTACAAAGTTTAGAGAAAATATTATAGAATTAAATGTATGAAATTTGCACTTTTTGCAAAAGTTATTCTTAAAATACATAAAAGTACTTAGCTTAAAATTAAAAGAAATAAATTGACATGCAAGTGTTTAAATTTTGGGATAAGAAGCGATTTGGTTGTGGGTATGAGGTGAAAAGATTGAGGGAAAAAAATGGCAATGTGTGGAAACGAAATGGACAAAATGAGCAGGAGTTTCACGGCTACCGAAGAAACCAGGGTCCTCTAACAGGAAGCGTTGCAATTCAGGCTCAGCAAACACAGAACCTACTTAGAAGGTGGCTTTGGACCAGACAATGAACCCTAGACCATCTGGTGGTGGTCCTTTCACTCTGAATTGGAGCACTAGGTCAAAAGGCAGTTTGAAGTGCCATGGCTTTTCCTGGTCAACACCAAGTTCCCACTTTCTTTGAGTTTACATGTTATTGCCAATATAGACTTTCAGTTTCTGCCTAGCAATGATATCTGGTAAAGGAAGCGGTGGCTACAGGTTTATCACAATTACGTGTCAAAGCGTATGTCCATAAACTTGATCCTTTCATTTAAATAAAAAAAGCAAATCAAGATGCCTGCTGTTGGTTGATGTGTTTGCAGACCGGGAATGGGAGGCCCTCTGATTTTGTGAAGTCAAAACCAGCCTAAGACCAATCAGAGCTGACCAGGGGAACATTGGCCGAATCGTATCACAGATGGGTTGAACAGTGCAAGTTATGCTACCATCAGCAAGGGAGGGACTGTCATTTCACTGCCGGCCCTAAATAACAGCTTTTTATTTGCTGCTTTAGATTAGGAGATTTCAAATGAGGGAAATATCATCGATAGTCTACTCTTCTAAGGTAAGCCGAATGCTGTTTTGTTTCATATTATCTGTGGCCAATTTTGTGGAGGAAAATATGCTTTAGAATATAGAAAATGACCTTATCGCCACATAAAAGGGTCTTAAAGTTGTTCATACTTTTTAAAACGCAACAGCCTTAGTTATTTACCTACACATTTGATTCCTCTTGTTTGAAAGCACATTATTGCTAATTAAAGCAAAGTATTTTTTAAACAAAGACTTTATTTTTTATTTTGATACAGCAATCTCTATTTTAGACTCATCACATTGGTGTAATTAGAAAACTATTTCCTTGTCTTCTGAGAAAATGTTGTACAATCTGCTCCAGTTTCCAATTTATACACATAGTATTAATATTGAAATACAAAATAAGTATTTAGTTGAATTTTATTCAATTACAAAAAGTAGATAGATAAAGTAGATAGATAAATATACAGATGTCAGAATCTAAATAGATAGTTAAAGATGTTAAATGCTTTCAGGAAATATCCAATATATATATATTTTCCAATATTAGGGTAACGACTTTTCGCATTTTATAACATGAAAAAATGGGACATGCGGTCAGGTTTTAAAACACTTGATTAGCACCTAAACATTTTACCTGCAAATATTTTCACGGCATTATGTGCAGAAAAAAAAAAGCCATTGTATAAGTGCACGGGTTGTTTCATCCATAACTTTTTTTAAAAAGTAGCCAAAATAGCTGGTGTTTTAAATTCAACGGCAAATTATAACATCTGCCTCTTAACCTTTGTGTGATTTTCTTATTTTTTGGCTTAAGTTGACTGGTGTGTTTATAGAACAGAAAACGGTGAGTTTCTAGTTTCGACGCGTGTAACAAATACAAAAAAGGTTTGAGTGTCAGCTTTCAACCTTCCAATTTAGAGAAAATTGGCTAAATCTTGTCTCCGGCAGGCTGACCACTAGTTTTATGAAGCAACTTGGCAGATCTTTTCAAACACATATGAAACAGGATTAGGGCTACTGTAAAAATAAAAAAATAAAAAGTTTACTGATTATCAAATAATATTTCAGTTTAATATGGGGAAAAAGTCAGAATTACGACTTTAATCTTAGAATTTTGACTTTAATCTCAGAATTCTTATTTTAATCTTGGCATTGTCACTTTAATCTCAGAATTTATCTTAATGTAGATGGGCACCATGAAGGAAGAGATGTGGGAGCACCCAACTTTACTGACACTGAAGATGTGAGTTGTTTGTGAGGACCAGTAACACATTGGTGGAAAATGACAGAATTAGGTGACTTTTTACGTGCCCGAGGGTCCCTGGTGATGCTATTTCATTAATGGAAGAGCAGAAGGTGATTAAAACAAAAGAGCTAGTTTAGTCTCTAAAACAGACATGGCTACGGCTTGATGCTAACATGTTTGTTAGCTGTCAGAAAGAGTCAGAATTCTGAGATTAAAGTCATAATTCTGAAAAAAGTCAGAATTCAGACTTTTTTTCCCAGAATTCAGACTTTTTTCTCAGAACTCAGACTTTAATCTCAGAATTTTGGATCTTTATGTAGATGGGCCCTATAAAGGGAGAGATGTTTGAGCACCCAGCTTTACTGACACTGAAGTTGTTTGTGAGGGCCAGTAACACATTGGTGGAAAATGACGGAATTAGGCAACTTTTTACGTGCCCGAGGGGTCCCCAGTGATTTCATTAATGGAAGAGCAGAAGGTGATTAAAACAAGAGAGCTGGTTTCTAAAACAGACGTGGCTACGGCTTGATGCTAAAATGCTTGTTAGCTGTCAGAATTCAGAAAAAAAGTCAGAATTCTGACTTTTTTCTCAGAACTATGGATCTTTATGTAGATGGGCCCTATAAAGGAAGAGATGTGTGAGCACTCAGCCTTACTGACAAAGATGTGAGTTTTTTGAGAGGGCCAGTAACATATTGGTGGAAAATGAGGGAATTAGGTGACTTTTTACGTGCCTGGTGAAGCTATTTCATTAATGGAAGAGCAGAAGGTGATTAAAACAAGAGAGCTAGTTTAGTCTCTAAAACAGACATGGCTACGGCTTGTTGCTAACATGTTTGTTAGCTGTCAGAATTCAGTAAGAATTCTGAGATTAAAGTCAGAATTCTGACTTTTATTCCTCATATTATACTGAAATAAAATGTAAAAAACAGTTCACTTTTTTAGTTTTTCAATTGCCCTAATCCTCTACCATAAATACATATTAGTAACTATTCAAAACTTATCTTCTATGTGAAATAAGCAAACTAACAAAGGACCTGTAGATTATTGTCCCACTAAAAGGGTCAAGTTAAACAAGATCAGAAGTCATTCTTCGTCACAATCCAACCAAGATAACACAGGACAATGCCACAAGTTGCTAACAAACAGGCCCTAATCTGGGAAGTCCTTAAAAAAAGCTCTATACCTCCAAACCTCTGCAACTAAACCCCCCTGAACACAACAACTGCAGGGACTCTGAAGCCTTCCCCCTCTGCTCAAATCTCAGCGCCTCACTGGACAACTCTTGGCGGACAAAGTAATTCCATGGCGCTTAAAACTCCAGGAACTTTTTTTTTTTTCCCTTTTTCCTAAAAGAAGTTGTTCCTGTTTCGCCAGAGAAGTGGTGGAGGTGCGGGGGGAAGGGAGGACTTCAGCGCTCGCATTCATGGAGCCTCTCGGCCAGCGCAAACAAAGTCTTCCCCCGAAGAGGGAGGCAGTGGACGGCTGATGAGAGCCAGAACAAACGGCAACACACACAAAAACTGGAAAAATACCTCCTAAATGATTCTCTTGTGGGGATAATAAAAAGACAACTCAAAGCCCGCCTTGGGTAAACGTTGCTTTTTTCTTTTTTTTTTTTTTATCCCCCCTCCAAGTTGTGTTCAGCTCCGTTAACAATATAACAATTAAATCGCCCAGCAGATGATAGGGGCTGGCCGACAAAAATCACAAACCGGGGCCTGTAATCTCGTTACGCGTTTATAAATCATATAAAACACATTTCAGATGAAAATACAATACCGACGGCGTGGAGCTCCTGAAGAATGCAGAACATGCATGCTGCATTGTGTCCCTTTTTTTCCATTTTCACGAAGCTCGGGCGGTCCTCCGCTGTGATAATGGGGGTAAAAACCAACGTTTCTCCGCGGGTTTCACACCACGCCGAAAACATCGTGAATAATCCGCTTCTGTTGCGCCGCAAAAACCGTCATTTGCGAGCCGAGAAAAAAAAAAAGAAAGAGTAAGAGAAGGGAGGGAGGAGGGGGGGAGGTAGGTCGCCGTGTGAGCGAGGCCAAGACGCGACGTGTGGGTTTAGCTAGCCAGCCAGTCAGCAGCTCCAGTCAGCCTTCAGGGGGTGGTGGTGGAGGTGGAGGTGGAGGGGGGCAGAGGCAGGGAAGAGCGGATACCGGAGTGTGATGTCCCCGGGAGGAGGACCCGCGTGCGCCCGTTGCCAGGAGGCGAGAGCCGCGGCGGCGAGACTCTCCAGCTGCAACGAGAACAAAAACAAGGGAAACACTCACCTGGAATGTTAGCTCAGGTTCCGGTTTCCTTCACTTCGTACCGCGAACATTATTAAATCACAACATTATCACGGTAACATTGTGAAACGGGAATAGTCCTCGCCTCGGCTTTTCACTGGCCCTACTCCATTACATCCCAGTCAAGGTTTCTGCCCCCCCCCATCCGATCCTACGAGATGGTTCAGTCCAATTCTAAGTAGCAATTCTAGGTCAGGTCTACCAGTGAGAATGTTACTGTCGGACAACAGCAAATGTCCACGTTCATGTGACACATTAAACACTCGAAGACTAATCATCTGCTTGTGTTTTTGATTGGGACAATATTTGTGATAATCTAACTCAAACTTCCTTTAAGAATGAAGGTGGGAAGATCAAAGGAATATAACTTGTAGAAGTTTTCAAACTCTCTCCAGTTGCTTTTTAAAAGCACTAGACCTCTGTAGAAAGCAATGTTTACAGGTGTGTATGAATAGGTTATAATATTATTTAAGAGGTTTTTAGAATTATTTCATAAATTCACCTCAAAACCCGAAACTCATACAAAGAGAAATATTTCATATGCTTATTTGGGAGAATTCTGATGATTCTGGTTTTTAAAAAAAAATCAGTTGTATTAAAAAGATATATTACAAAGAAGAACAGTGAACAAAGACACACCACTTATGGTCACTACAAGAAGATAAGTGAGTGGACAGCGGTGTAATAGATAATCTGTAACACCCTCCACACAAAAACCTGGCTCTTCACATTGTGCTGTTTTAAAGTATACAAATGGAAAGTTTAGTGGAAGGAAGAACTGTGTCTAAAAACATACAGGCTAACCTGAAGTGGGGGTAGAGATATAGCTATATATAGCCTTGTCTAACTCTTAAATTATTTTTGTTGTTTATATAATCTACTCTATAAAAGACAGATTGGTTTTTAAGTAAAGCCTGGTCAAGAGTTTGGAAATATTTACAAGGATGGATGCAGGACTACAAGTGCTGCTCCATACAGAAATTTGTTTACTTATTTTATGAACCTTTAACTTAAGAATAATTGTAAAAATGCATTATTCTGCAAGTCTTCTAAATTACATCCTTTTACAGCATACCCATCCAAATATATGGAAACAAAACTTATTCCGCAGGTGATTACATAAATGTTTTATTTAGACAATACACTTTTAGACAAATATTAAAAATAGTTACCACAAACAGTAAGCAGATATCGTAGACGTGCTTTGTGACCTACAGTTGTCAGATTCCTGATGTTAGACCACTCCTGAACTAGATACAGTGTCTGTCACGCAAATAATTGTGGGCAATCGTATAGCACCTAGCTGTACATAAATTGATGCTATGAAGCTGACTGCTTCCTGGACACTATTCGGACAGCACTTATTATGAACTTCCTCTGTGGCTTTTCAGGTATTGGGATTGAGTCTGAAATTTCAAAATGTGCAAAAACAGAATCTGTATGAGTCAAGATTCATTGAAGGAAAGGTTGGTTTTAGGTGCTTACAGTGTTCAGACACCATCTAAACATATTAAACATTAAAATACAATAAACATTTAGAAGAAGAAGTAGATTTCTCCAATGCAAGATCAATAAAGTTCTATTATTATTATTATTATTATTATTATTATTATTATTATTATTTTTGCAGAAATCTTAACTGCCTTTTTCCTGACTTTGCCATCCTACACAGCTTAGAGCTGAAGTAAAAACATAAATCTGTTCCATACGATTACTGCTTCAAATACCGTCAGCAGTTTGCTACTTAGCACGTCATTTGCAAGTTGCTCTTATTTTCAGACTTAAAACTGGAATATGGTTATATTTGGTTTGATGTAATTTCCAGATCCTAATTCACAAAGAAAACTCAACGCCTCTTTAGTTTGTACCTCGGTTTTTCAAACTTTCCTTATACTGTTGGAGAAGATTATAATAAAAGTGGACAAAGTGTTTGAATAACTAATTTGATTAGCTTTAGTCAAGCTTCCACTGCAAAACCCACCAAGAAATAAGTAAACATTTCATAAGTTCAGTGTATTTACCCTTAATTTGAAATGTAAATAAAATGATTTGCAAATGGAATGAGATGTTTTATTCTTAAAATAAGATAATATGCACTTGAAATAATAAAATCCAATAGTTTTTTTCTTATTTTAAATTTAGATTGTGTTGTACCATTGGAGAACTGTCTCACTTACCTCCGCAATTCAAGAAAAAATGCACTTATTTTCAGAAAAAAATTACTTATATAGACTTAAATTCTTTGCAGTGTACAAATGATCTCCTCTGTCCTCAGCAGTTTTTAGGGTAGAATAAATAATTTTCAGAAGACATAAGCAACTAGCTAGCAATACATCTTTCAAGACCCAGAATGTAATTATTATCTTCTAGTTGTTAAACACATGGCTCTAATGTACTCTTTATGTGCTTCAGGTTGTTTTTGGTTTTCTGTTTTTTTCCCCTCAGTTAATAATCACCTACTTTACAGTATCCAAGCAAAGGTCAAGTAGAGGGACTAGAAGTGAGTAGAGCACCCATAAAATATACTCAAGAAAGAGCACTACTTCAACACATTTTTACTCAAGTAAAAGTGAAAAGTAACCAAACAAGAAATTACTCAAGTAGGGGTAAAAAATTAAAAAAAGGTATTTGGTAAGAAGGCTACGCAAGTAGTGAGTAGCTGATCATAACATCTGATATTCTATTTAAAAATGATGTAAAGGGAGAGACAAACATATAAAATCTAAAGTTATGTACAACTTCTTGTAATTTTAAGACCAAAATAAAAAAAAAAGATGTACAAAAAGAAAACAGAATTACAAAACAATGAATTAAGGCAGGGGAAACAATTTTAACAGAAATAACGCGGTACTTGCAGTGGATATTTATAGACAATAATTAATACCGGTAAGTATATGTTCATCTGATTATACATATACATAAACTTTGATACATCATAGTTTTAATCTATGGGGTCAATATTTGAGGTAACTCTGCTCCAATCAAACGCTGATTTAACTATTCTATAAATGCATTATTAGACATGAAACCCAGAATTCAATCATCTGCATTAGTTGATCCCAGAGGTTTTCTACACCAAACTTTATCCATCTGAAGCCATAAAAATGACTGTTTTGGTGATACTTATACTTATTTATAGTGGATGATGACGATATTAACTGTTCAAAGTATGAGCACTTGGTTTCCAAATGGCTCAGTGTGCTCAGAAGGTCGGAAAAAAAAACATGAAAACAACAATTTTTTTATATAAACAGAAAGTCTGACTTTAACATAAACTGTAGATGAAAGTCTCTGTGATGCATCTTTTTTCACAGACTTATACATAGTGGGTAAAAAGCAGCCTTTTTTAATCAAAGGTAAGTAGTGACACCTCTCCATAGAATAAGAATAAATAATAAATTAAAAGCATAATACAGTAGAAGTACTTCTAATTTAGTTTAAAATGTTACACAAGTAACTCGGTGCTACCCGCCCCCTGAGAAGAACATCAAAATAAAATAGTGAAAACACAGTCAGAGGTCAAATGAAAGTCAATTAAAATTTTGTAAGAAAAAATGCAATACCTTTTAAGCACAGCATATAAAGGGAGTAGTTTAGACTTTTATTCAGGGCTGATTTTATTAATGTCTATATGATGAAAATAACTTGAGTTTGATTGATATTTAATAATTCAATAATTTCTCTCTTTTTCAAATCCAGACAGGCCTTCATTAATAAAGCTATTAGCCATCAGCAGAGCGTCTGATGGCTCCTGGGCAATGCTGTCCCAGAGAAGGAGACATGATGTCTTCTAATATAAATTACATTGGAAGTTTCCTGCAAGTTGAGTCTGCATTTCTCACCACTGTTTTAAAAAGATATTCAGCCACGGATCTCGAATAAAGAACATTTCACAGAATTTTAGAAACAACATCAAGTCAAAAATTGTAAAGTCTGTGCTTTGGAAATGATAGATCTCCTTTCAACTAGAAAATACAAAAACCATATTTAAAAGTGGAGCATAAAGTCTTTTTCACTGATTAGTACTGTGAAGTGAAAGTAAGTGTAAAAAATAGGGCATCTCTTATTTAGAGAAATATCAAAAAAGGCTAAAATTAGACTGTTTTTGACTGCGTTGCTCTTAATCCGCTGCCATAACCTGGGGTTATTCTGCACAGTAAAGTTTTATTAGTACTCATGATGAGCCAAGAAGCTAATGACATGACACTTGATAAATAAAATCATGTTTCGCTACAGGGCAAACACACACGCATACTCTCCTCACAGAATGACGCTCAGAGGCCTCGGAGGAAGTGTGAAACATTGAGGACATGCAAAGCGAGAGTGGTCCTTCTCAATATTTAATCAAGATACATTTCAGATCTAACCCAAATGTATAATCAACACGACCGGAATTGGGATGAATTGGTGTTTAAGTGTGCACGCTATTAACTGGCCTGATTGCGTGTCTGCAGATGTGTGTGTTTGTGTGCCCTGCTTTTTTTTTACCTCATTATGAGAACTGATTAACTCTCAAGCCAGACATGTTTTTTGCGGTCAAAGTAAAAGCATTCTTCTTGAAGAGGCCGTTTTAGTGAACGCTCTGTGCAGAGGGGGGTAATGCATTCCTTAAATGTTAGGGTACGATTAGAAATTAATTCATTCAGCTTTATTATTCTTTAAATGTCATTAATTAGGCTATCTTCTCTCAGTTGGTTAATGAAAATCGAGGACATCATTTGAATTTTTTTTCTGCTTTGAAAAGTCAGTGCTTGTTGAAACACCAGATTGCACTTATAGCCATCTACCTTTGAAGAAAAGAAGAATTAATTCTGACCTAAAAGTTACTATGTTTACACAGTCAGATAA